TGTTGATTGAGATCATGGGTGCTTGCGGGTGATGAGCCTCAACGAAGGACAAAAAGTATGCCTTAGGATTTTATTCCGACCAGATAGACTTTGTATTAACATTCAAGTTGAACTCTGATTGGACATTGGGTAATAATTAACTAGCGTCATGCGTCTAGTCCTTTGTTTGATGCAGACTAGATTCTATCAGTCAACTTTGCAGTGTGGTCACCATGGCTGTTTGTTGAGATGAAATGACCAGTGGTGAAGAGATATTCGACTATGGCACTCCTTATACAGCCACTACTTCCTTTGGAAAAGTCAATCACCAAAGAAGTGGAGCAAAGGAAACACTGGGCTGAACACTTCAAAAGACTACTAAACCGACCGCCACCTACAACGCGCCCAACAATACCAACAACGGAAGCAGAATTACCAGTGAACATCAACCCCCCGACGAAATCAGAAGTCCTGAAGGCAATCAAGATGCTGAAAGCTGGGAAAGCAGCAGGACCAGATGGAATCCCAGCAGAAGCATTGAAAGTCGACCCAGAGACAACAGCAGACCTGATGACGCCACTACTGAAGAAGGTGTGGAAAGAAGGCAAAGTACCCGAGGATTGGAAGAAAGGATACCTATTCAAATTACCAAAGAAAGGAGACTTAAGTCAATGCAAGAACTGGCGCGGAATTATGCTCCTTTCCATCCCAAGCAAAATACTAAGCCGCATCATCCTGGAAAGGATCAAACAAGCCTTGGATGAAAAACTTCGACCAGAACAAGCTGGATTCAGGAGTAACAAGTCATGTATTGATCAAATCGCCACACTACGGATCATCATTGAACAAAGTTTGGAATGGCAGTCACCTCTCTATCTCAACTTCATCGACTTTGAAAAGGCCTTCGACAGCGTCGATCGAGAGGTGATTTGGCAACTACTTCGCTACTACGGGGTGCCGCCGACAATTATACATCTCATCCAACAGTTGTATGACAACGCTGCATGCCAAGTAATCCACAACGGGAAGCTCACGGAATCCTTCGAAGTGAAGACAGGAGTAAGACAGGGTTGCCTACCATCGCCAATGATTTTCCTGATTGCAGTAGACTGGATAATGCGACAAACAGCGGGCAATGAGGAAACAGGCATAAAATGGACTCACACAAAGAACTTGGAGGATCTGGACTTCGCCGATGATATATGCCTGATTTCCCACAAACTGGAAGATATGCAAGTGAAAAGTAACAAGTTGGCAGAAGAAGCATCAAAGATAGGACTCCAGGTGAACATAGAAAAAACAGAGGTGATGAAGATCCCTGGCCAACACCAACAACAACAACAGACAGCAATCAGCATAAATGGAAAAAACCTGAAAGAAACTACCTCCTTTACCTACTTGGGAAGCATTGTTTCAACTACAGGCGGAACTGGCGAGGATATCAAAGCAAGGATCGGGAAAGCAAGGCAAGCTTTCATTACTCTGAAGTCTGTGTGGAGGACAACATCATTCAGCGTCAAAAATAAGATCGGGATTTTCAACTCCACTGTGAAGTCAGTACTACTATACGGATCAGAGACTTGGCGTGTCACAAAGAGCACCTCAAACAAGCTACAGACCTTCATTAACAGATGTCTTCGCTCAATACTCAAGATCAGATGGCCGGAAAGGATCAGCAACAAAGATCTCTTGAAGCGAACCAACCAGGAACCCATTGTGAAACAAATAGGCAGGAAAAAATGGAGATGGATTGGCCACACTCTGAGGAAACCAGCAAGTGACATCACTAGACAAGCCCTCGAGTGGAACCCGAAAGGGAAGCGGCGAGTTGGTCGTCCAAGGGTGACCTGGAGGAGATCATGTGAAGAGGAGATGAAAGCATGTGGGCAGACCTGGAGCCAGGTGAAAACTCTAGCAGAGAATCGAACGCAGTGGAGACGCATGGCTGAAGCCCTATGTTCCTCTAGGAACTAAAGGAAATAATAATAATAATACTTCCTTTCTGCAGCCACGCCGGAACTTTAAGAAGGTCCATCTATAGGGAACCTATGTGGAACGGCTAACTGACAAGCTTCTACAGCTGGGTACCAGTCAGTCGAAAAAGTAACCTGATTAAATCTCTTGCTGCTCGCGTCCAGCACATTTGCAGCTCTAATACCCTGAAAGAAATCTTCATACTAAGCGGATATCCACCGAGGTTCACAGAGAAAAATATAAAGCAGGAAAGGCTTGCTAAAAAAGATACTTTGAATGAACCTGGGCCGCAAAGGTGATCTACACAGTGATATCCTTAAGAGGAGAATTTCCAGTTCTTCAAGAAGACCTTCCTTCACGGCAACACTGAGAGTAGTATTCTCCAATCGACCGCTGATCTGCAGAAGCCCAAAGGACAAGATCTCGCACCTGACCACTTCTACGTGCATATATCATTTCATCTGTTGCTGTGGAGTCAGGTACATCGGTCGTTCAACGCGTATCCTGTCAAAAAGGGTCAAAGAACACTATCCAGCGTGGCTACAGAAAGGAAGTAGTGGCTGCATAAGGAGTGCAATAATCAAACATCTCGTCATCACTGCTCATTCCATCTCAACAAATGCCTCCTCCTTCAAAATAATCTACAAAGTGAAGAACAACCTGCCAAAGACAATACGTTTCCGTCTTGTTTGCATTGCAGGAGCCCTAGTCATTCAGTTAGAAGAACTAGAACTATGCATACAAAAGAAAATTATTCAACCACTTCTGCTATCATGGTAATAACTCTGTTGATTTGACTTAACTTTTGCTTGTTTGCTTGTTTTTCTAACTACTTAAAACTCTTATTTTCCCAAAAGCTCTTACGTAATTCCGTATTTTATTTTGTTTCCGTGTTCACCCTGAGTGCAACTCTTTCATAAAACTATTCATGTTATCATTACATAACTCTTCCTTAAGAATTGTTTGTGAGAACTCATCATTTGTGTTACTACCCTCTTATATCAACATCCGATTCCTCTGAATACTTCTAGTATTACGTAACTCCACCGAAAATTGACTAATTCTCACCTGTTTAGTTAAAATAAGCATAACCAATCGTATTTTTGTTTGACAAACTTAATGTAAACATACATGCAAAGTAACTCATATATACATTTGCGATTGTACAGCTAAGAAAATGAATTCACCGGCGAAAAGAGACTCTTCGCTGAACTACTGGTCTTCTCTCTGTTAATATTTGATTGGGGATTATTCAAGTGTGTCATCTTTTGTATGCATATTAATCTCATTAAGTGATTTGCTTTATTCCCTTGAGTTCTTAATAGAAAATGGGACTTTTATGCTTGGACTTTAGACTTCCTGTACGAGTGGTGTTCTGGTTTTTACGGGGTAAGATTGTCATCTTCGCTATCGGGTTTGCTATTGGCTTAGTGGTTGGCAAGTATTTGACCACTGCACTACAGACGTATTTACTGTAAATTTATGATGCTGTTTATTAGAGGTGAAGCTGCATTAGGAACTGCGACCGAGTATTCTATCGGCTAAGGTATAACAACTGCATCTATTTTCGTGCAAGATGTCTTATGTCTGTACTGACTGGTGATGTGCTTAGTCATTCGTGTTGGTGCTTAACTGAATTGCAAGCTACAAATAACCCCTGCCGACGGGTGTCAATAAGCATGAAACATAGGTACTTGTAGGATTCCTAAAGACTGTCTCCAAATTACCCACACTGGATCCTAAACTGTTCACAACACCAATCACTTACCTCGTATTTAAAAGTTGCTTATTTTATATTTTATGCTTCTAGATTTATTCTAC